GAGGAGAGAGGGAGAGAGAGGGGAGAAAGGGAGGGGTATAGTGCATTACACTTCTTATATACTTCACTATTGTTATGAGTGAAGTAAGAAGTGGGTTATCATCTACAATTATTATTTGAATATGATTTTAGACTCTTTGTAATACTCTTGACAATATGTATGATGCAAGAGTCCCTACAGCCTGGAGAAAAATTAGTAGAATTACATGTATTTTGTGTGTTGAGTGAAGAAAAACAGGTTTATATTTTTTTGGTTTTAATTTTCTGTGGATGGCAGTTTATAAGCCTGTAATCATGAAATTATACACTAAAAAGACAAGAATGAGAGAGGCATTTTGTTGCCAAATATACACCATCTTTCTAATTGAGGCACATGTTGCTTTCAAGATGAAAGTAGTCTCTAGCATTAAGTGTGCCTATGTACTGTATGGCCTTAAAAGATTGTGAAAAGGCAAAATATAATGTTATGTAGGACTAATATTATTTTAATGTAGATATTGTGGGAATCAGCTACCATTGGGTTCTGGTTTACTGAGTTACTGGAGAGGGACTCTCAGTTCAGGTCCTGGGTATTTGGAGGACGTCCTGATCTGTTTTGGATGACTGGTCTCTTTAATCCTCAAGGATTCCTTACTGCTATGAGACAAGAGGTAGGATTATGACATATACCATATCCCTCAGTCATTTGTGCCTAAGACCATGTACTTTTGACCCAATTTGACTTGGAGCAACTTTAGAAATTTATTAAATCTTGATTTGATAATTTTAAAAGTGAAAATTGTCTTTTGACTAAAAATTGGTAGCTTTAGCATAATTTGAGGTACAATATGTGTGAAAATTTTGTCACTTTTGAGAAAATTGTTGCCCCAGTTTGAGGGGAAATTTACCAGATTTCATCTGAAAAAAAGTTTAGCTCACTTTGATTGAGTAGTGAAGTTCCTCTGGAGGAGAGAGGGGGGGAGAGAGATAAAGGGTGTGTCATTCCATACAGTATAATGTGTATTGGCTTACATCTCCATTGACTGCTGCATAGACTACTCTTTCCTCAGTGGGTGGTTTATTCTTTGATGTTCTCTTACCACCTGCTATTGATAGATCAGCATACAATACTTTATGAGGAGCAGCTGGAGGAGGAATGGGAGGAGGAACAGACTAGGAGGAGAGAGAGAGGATGTATAAGATACCATTACATGTACATGTACATTATCATTACTTTGTTGTTAACTGATGCATATACCACTGGTTGTTCTTGTGTTGGTGCTGCCTGTGGTCTCTTCCCTTTAGCAGCAATAGCCAGATCAGCATACACTGGCTTATGATCTGATTCATCAACTAACACCTATTGAATATAACAACATGAACCTTAATTACTAATGTACATACCTTATGTACTAATATACCTTATACTAATGTACATACCTATACTAATGCATTTACATGTACTTGTGGTATGTGTGTATTAGTTACTATAAGGTGGTACATCAGATTACATAAGGATAAGTTCACCTTATTACATTAAAAGCTAAAAGGATGTACTCAATTCACCCATTACCCCTCTTCCCTTCCTTTATATGATACAATACATTATGTACATGTAGTTCGTTAAACCCAATACATTATGTACATGTAGTTCATTAAACCCAATACATTATGTACATGTAGTTCATTAAACCCAATACATTATGTCAAGAGTGGATTATGTACATGTATCCATACCTGGTTGTTGGTGTTTTTATTAATGGTTGAATATAGTCCAGTAGCACCAGTAGACAGACCCTGTTGACCCTTATTCTATTAATAATACATTATATGATCCATTTTTAAAAGACTCTCTCATTAATCACTCACCTCTCCCTCTCTCTTCAATACAGAGTATTCCTGTACTCCCTCAGGATTATAAGCAGGAGGGACAGGAGGAGCAGTATCATTGTCTTGATTAAGTGTTGAATAAAGTGGACCAGCTCCTTTTTGTTGTTGTTGTTGTTTATTCTTTTTCTACTATACATTATTGTTATTGTATGTCTGGTATTTTGTTTGTTATACCTCTCCCTCTCTCTTCAGTTCAGAGTATTCTTGTCCTCCATTAGGATTATAGGCTGGTACTGGTGGGGGAGTATCATCATCATCATCACTAGCTCTAAGAACACTGTACTCACCTAGTGAATATTGTATATTAATAATAATAATAATGTATATATAAATGTACCTAAGCACATTGCCTATCATGTCCTCTTGTCTATCATGTGCTAGTTCATTGTATCTTACAGTCAAACATATGATTACCCTGTGTAGGCTGTTGTCAGCTTATTGTGTGGTACATGTATACACATATGATTCATGTCATGACAGGTAGAGGAAGGTTAATGTTATTCTTGCTAATGTACACTAAATGATGACTGGATGTAAGTATTTGCTAGGTATATAGTGTATGTGAATTGATTTAGTTATTGTAATAAAGTGATGTTTGTACTAATGTCATTGTGTAGTGTATCACACAAAAATTTAAGTAACCTGTAATACAATAGAAAAAACTGCTGATGTACTTGATACACTGAAACTATGAGCTACTAGTTTTGTACTTTATACATGCCTTT